GTTCGCTGTGCATGGTGATGGTGGGGGGGGCTAGCTATCAGCGCTCCCCCCTCCCCCCCAATCGTTGCTAGTCTTAACATGACTGAATCTTTCTGCCTTCTGTTGTCCCTCTGTTGTTAAATTGCTGGGAGTGAAGGATGAGAAATCTTTCCCTGCGCCCACAGGAACCTCCTCCACAAACCCTTTCGTGTCGCCACTTTTACCCCAAAGAACTGGTATGGGGTCACAACCTCTCTGCGCCTCGTGCACTGGGGTCGCTTCACTGATCTTCGCTTTAAACACAAGAAGTCTTTAATAAAAAAACAAACACACCTGCATTGTGTATTAAAATCCAGGTTTTAAATCCCCCCCCCCCCACACACTTCTGTATTTGACACTACCATTAACAGCAGTTTTGCTGTTTTCCCCTGAAGTCCAATGGGTTTTTTATTTTCTTAAGAACAGTGAGGAGGTTGGGGAGAGCTAAGAATGAGGTATACATACTTAAGCAATACACTCCGCTTCCAGTGTCTGGAAGATTACCTAAATGTACCAGTATCGGCGGGGTAGATGTGTATGTTCTGTATCTGCAAAAGCAATGAGTTCTGTGGGCACCATAGACACTAAGGCTATGTCTACACTGGTAGCTTCTTGCACAAGAACTCTTTTGAGGAAGAGTTCTTGTGCAAAAAATTTCCACAAGAGCGTGTCCACACTGCCATGTGCTTTTGCGCAAGAGCATCCATGGCAGTGTGGACACTCTTGTGCAAGAACGCTTTGATGGCCATTTTAACCGTAGGGGCTTCTTGCGCAAGAAATTCATGATGCCTGTCTAAACTGACCTCTTGTGGTAGAGCTCTTGTGCAAGAGGGCTTATTCCTCGTGCGGAGAGGAATGACTCTTCCGGAAGAAGCCCTGTTTTACAATGCTATACTGTAAATTTAAATTTACTTGCGCAAGAACGCTTGTGCAGTGTAGTCAGCAGGCAAGTTTTTGCACAAGAACAGCTGTTCTTGCACAAGAAGCTGCCAGTGTAGACATAGCCTAATAGGTTTACTGTGCAAAAGAACCATTGTGAAGGGGGGTTTTGCCCATGAAAGCTTATGTCCAAGTAAATATATTGATCTTCAAGCTAAGGGGCCACAGGGCTCCTTGTACATTTTTGAGGTGAGGAATGTTTTTTTTACTTTCTCTAGACTTTTCCTTCTTATGATTGTTGAATGTATGTAGAGGGTGTTTCTCCCTGCTCTAGTAGTACACAAAGACATAGTATTGCTTTTGAGGCTAATATATAGATAGCTCCTTTCTAAACTCGTTCTCCTTTTTCCCATCTTTTTGATAGATGCAAAACACCTCTCTGAAGCACGGAAGTATGTAGACAACTTCAGTTTGGAAGCTTATCGTTTTTCAGCTCAAGATGGTGCAGCAGAAAAAATCTGTTCTTCGGGTGTCCTTTAAATATTTCTGCACTCCTTCACTCTTAACAAAATGGCTTTTAAAATCCGATAACTTGTGAAATCTGTGCACAAAGCTGAGATTACAAGGATACTGTACAAGAGGCAATATGCATTCCAATGGACATCTCTTGTGAACAGGAGACTCTGTTGTCAAATGAAAACAACACCCTAAAAGCACTGATCCGTAACTGGAACAAGTATTAAAGGAACTGCATCAGAATGTTTGTTAGTGCCAGAAAAGGCAGAAAATGCCAGTTTGTGCAGATACTTGCCACATGTTTTGTACTGTCTCTCATGATTTTCTGGACACCGCTTGATAATCATATTGTGAGCCATATGAAGTCCTATTCGTACAGATACCTCATAAATAGCTACACATTTGTGAATAATAGCCTGTCCATAAACAGGGACAACTTAGACAGGGTAGCAAGCTACCGATACTTGATCAACCATAAGGAGAAATGTCAGCAGCAAGAGGTTCTCCTTCTATTGTTTGTAAAGACTTCTCCAGAAAACCGGCATCGGCGAGATGCAATTCGACAAACCTGGGGTAATGAAAAATATGTACATTCTCATCTTAATGCCAACATTAAAACTGTTTTTGCTTTAGGACAACCAGCAGATCGTATGCAGGGAGTACAGATGCAAAGAAATCTTCTAATGGAAAACCAGAAATACAATGATTTGATCCAACAAGACTTCTTGGATACTTTTCACAATCTTACCCTTAAGTTACTTTTGCAGTTTGGATGGGTGAATGCATACTGCCCTCATGCCAAGTTCATTATGTCTGCAGATGATGATATTTTTATTCACATGCCAAATCTTGTTGCATATCTCCAAAGGCTAGTGGAAATTGGTGTTCAGGATCTCTGGATTGGGCGTGTCCATCGTGGTGCTCCTCCCGTGAGAGATAAGACTAGCAAATACTATGTTCCATATGAAATGTATCAATGGCCTTCTTACCCTGACTACACAGCTGGAGCCGCATATGTAATATCAAGTGATGTAGCAGCTAAAGTATATGCAGCTTCACAGACTCTTAATACAAGTCTTTATATAGATGATGTATTCATGGGTCTCTGTGCCAATAAAATGGGAATTGTTCCACAATATCATGTATTCTTTTCTGGGGAAGGAAAGGCTCCATATCATCCCTGCATTTATGACAAAATGATAACCTCTCATGGACATGTAGAAGACCTTCATCACCTTTGGAAGCAGGCAACAGATCCAAAAGTTAAAAACTTTTCCTCTGGATTTTGGGGTAGAACATATTGCAGAATAGTTAATATTATGCTTCTTTGCAAACTGCACTATGAGGACACATATCCCTGTTCAGCTGCATTTTCCTAATACTTGAATATCTGCATAGAGATTCATTGAGCCAAAATGGAGTGACAACTTTTAACTGGTATCCATAATACAGATAAAATAAACAGAAGAGGTAAGATTAAAATGTGAATGGCGTTACGTCCCAAATTATTCTGCTCAGGAACTTTACCAGAATAATACTCGCTGGCTGTATTAATTTCCACATACTGAAGCCTGTATTTTTATACTCCTTTTCAAGGGATTTGAATAGTTATTACTGACTTCATTTTTTTAGATACTGAAAAGTATTTGAACTTGAGAGTACAGAATTTGTCAGTTAGCCTTGTTAGTTGTATCCAGTTGAAAACCAGTGTGTAAATTAAGGCACATCATTTCAAGGAAATGGCTTGCCACTTAAACTTCCATAAGTAGCACTTCCCAAACAAAAGGAAATAATACTTCTGATACCATGAGTAAAAAGGTATAGTGGCAATTTTAAGAGGTAAACTAATCAAATGGTTACCATTTTTCTGAATACAGGTCAACAAAATGACTCTAAAAATCAAAATAATCCACAAATGGTGCTAGAGGTGAAAGCTTGCTAAAATGTTTTGTTCTCTTGAGGTCATGTAAGTCTTGCACAACATTTGGGCGAGGGGGAAATGGCATTCACACTGTCCTGCTAACTTGTGCTTTTGGGTAATATGAGCTCTATTTTAGAATAGGAGTTTGTGGGAAGGGACACTGATCACTTATGCAACACTATTTCAACAACAGCAAACCTTCAAAAATTAAGTAATTAAAATTTTTAAATCTGAACACATTTTCTGAAGTAATATTTTTAAACACTACAATCAGATCTTAGTAGACTAAGAGCACATGTATTGAAATATGGCCTTCTAGTTGTAACTTCCCAAAATATTTATTTGCCTAGTTAATAATTTTAAAGTGAGAAGGCAGGTTAAACTTCTCCATTTAACAATGTAGTTCAGATTATTTTTAAAAAATGAAGCCAAATTTGTGCAAACTTGAGTGCAAACAAAGGAAGAGTCAAGGATCTTGAAAGTAAGGGTAGAATGCACAAAAGTGATAGGATAAAAATATTGATAGTAATGTTAAAATGCAACATTTTTAAAAATTACAAAATCATCTAAATTGTCCTCTCAATCTAATTGGTTTCATGCACAGATCTTTGTCTAATGGCCATGTGAAGAAGTCCATGTCAAAATAGATTTGGTTGAAGAGAAAGATACAGATTTTCTATTTCTAGTTTCCATTTACTTGTGCCTCTTCAACATGAGCAAATAGCTAAACTTCCAATTTACAAAGGCTAGTCATAGGTGAAATCAAGACTCTGGCCACCACCATTACTTGTAATCTGATAGTTATGAGCTATGTCCAACACCTCTAAAGCACATGTTTGGAAGAAGTATTCAGTTGTTGTTGTTAGTCTGGTTCTAACACTGTTTCCTGTACTTTGTGGACAAGTGTGTTACTTTATTTATATGTATGTATATATAAAAAAACCAACCCCAAACTACCAGGAGTAGCCAAAGCCATGGTAGCTGTTTGGATACTGCTAGATGTGTGTATAAGTTGTGTTTGTCTCAATTTTGAGAGCTGTTCGACATTGATGTGAGTTCCAGCGTGAACAAGGTCATAAAATCACTTCAGAATGGTTAAATTCATATCTTCACCCACTGGGATTTAGCAGCAAAAATGCAAAGGCTGGGGGGGGGAGGGGGGAGAAAAAGTCTGCCACTTTTAGTGGAGCGTTGTCATGTTCTAGGAGACTGGCTACTTGTTTTATGAGAGAATGTCCACCTTTTTTCCTAAATTTCCCATCGACACCTCCAATACTGTAAATGAGTATATGGGAACACTAAAGTAGATCAGTCACCTGTATTTAACTCTAGTGGCGTCTAAACTTTGCTGATTTTTTTAAAATGCAGTCATCTGGATGCATCCTCTTTGTTTAAGCTAACCTGCACTCTATCGCAACCATCTGTAGGGCTGCACCAGTGGTAGGAGGGGAAAAAAGTCAAGACCCAGGAGTGAACTGTTCTTAGATGGTTATTAGAGCATGATTGATATTTGCCACTTACTTTCAGCTGAAATAAGAGCTCAATATCTACTGAGTAATCATATAAACTTTAAGTGTTTCTCCAGAATGAAAGTGTAAGAGAACCAGTGGATTGGCTATTGTAGGATCCAGGTGTTGACTATACACAGAAACCAACAAGTGAAACTTAGTCTATTACCATTAATGCAAAAGCAATGGTTGAAAAATGATAAATTAATGTTCTAATTCTGCAGCTCTAAAATTATTACAGCAAAACAAATAGTTAGTCCAGGCTCTAATTAGAAAACAGGTTTATTTACTGTAATCAGAAAACTAGTTTTGCTTTATGATGGCAAAATAACTAAAATTACAAAGTTGTAGATCTAAATTCCTGAGAAACTTTAAAACTACATCACACTGTGGAAACACTTCTTATAACTGATGGAAATTTTGATTGCACTAGCCACTTTGAATTGACAGTAACCTGTGGCAGAAATGGCATAACAAATCCCAGTTAGCATAAAATAGTTAAAATGTAGTATACAATTAAGGTCCTAATCCTGTAAGCAAATTTCAGTGCATAATTTGACTTGTGTAAGTAAAATTAAACATATTATTAAGTCTTTGCAGGATTGGGCTCTGTTACCATCTATAACTTGTAATTTTATATAAAATCTGAATTTGCCATTGTATGAAAAGATCAATGTCTCTTGACTATTGAAATGCTTTTGTTTACAGCAGGTCTGTTTTATTGGGAATATTCCTTATCTTAAAGGACTTCGATGTTTGTAATTTGTTGGTTTATTTTTGCTGCAGTTTGAGAGAATGTTTATAAACTTGAAGAAAATATGATGGCACTCTTTTCAAAGAATAGAGAAGCTAGAAAATTTCTTAACCTTTGGCTCTAAACATTGACTTAATGTGTATTCCATTTAGGGTTTTGTTTTGTTTTTTTGAGAGAGGGGGAGGAATGTCAGTGCTCCAATGCTGGGCTGTCCATGTTTTTTCACGACTTAAAACATTCAGCAGCCTGAATGGTCGCTTCTCAATTAGCAGTTTTGACACTATTGCACAAAATGTTTAATGCTGAAATTTTGTTTTTACCTTTGTTGAGTTTGCATCAAGTTTCCTTTGATATTACTAACTTTTATACAAATAAATATTTATTCTTGGAACTCTTTGCTCAATCACAAGACAATTGTTTTGTAAGACTTTGTTTTGAATAAACAGTGTTTGTGTATTTTTTTTAAACTGGTAAGCCTTTTTGCCTTTCAGAATTGCACGTCTTGTACCTGACATCCTTCATTTCAGTGCTTCAGAATTCAAATTTTAAGACATTGATGTTCAGTGGTGGGGAGCTTGCGTCCTGCAGGCTGCCTGCAGCCTACTAGCGCTATGTCTACACTCTTCCATTTAAAAAAAAAAAGAGGCAAAGCAAACGAAGTGCTCATTTGCATTTTCTCATGCTTCATTTGCATAATATTGTCCAATGCTTTTTGCGTGAGGTTTTTGCGCAAAAACAAGCGGTGTGGACATGTCCGTTTTTTGCGCAAAAAGGGTTTTTTGCACAAAAGAGACACATCCACACCGCTTATTTTTGCGCAAAAACCTCTTGTGCAAAAAGAATAGGAAGAGATTAGCATTTTCTTATGCTTCATTTGCATTGCCTCTTCTGCAAAAAAAAACAAACAAACAAACAAAACACCTAGCCTAGGCTTCCACCTCTGGACCCCACACCTCTTGCCTGAAAGCAAACACAAATCACTATTAGTGGCATTCAAGCTCTGGGAGGGAGGGTAAGGAGCAGGTATGGAATGCGAATCAGTGGCTTCGTGGCACTCCGAAAGTGGTGGAGGAAGTGGGATGAATAGGACGTAGGGCTCCAGGACACACAAGAATGGAGATGGGGTGCATTGGTGGCAGGTAGAACCCCTGTGGACTGCAGGCTGCCCACCAGTGGTCATGTGGTATACTGAAAGGAAGGAGGGCCACTCATGTTGCCCATCGCTGGTTTAGTCATTTTATGGAAGATCTGAACTTCAAATTAATGTTGGAGGGAGAGGGTTCGTTTTGGTTGGCTTGGACTACTCTCTTTAATGCCACCTTTTAAACTTCTCCTGTTCTGTGTGTCATCTCTTTTATGGATCACTAAAGAATTTTTTTTGCTCACTCCTGAGGTCCCATGTTTCCTGTTAATCTATAACAGGAAAAACAGGATTTTTTTTAGTATGACATGCTTTCTGTTTTGCTAAACTGACAGTGCAGTTGACAGCATTTTGTACATAAACACCTTTTTTTTTTTTCCCCCCCATTTTAACCTTTTAGGTGTTGCAATCAACCGTGTTGTCTACACTAGAGGTTTTTCCGCAAAAACTTGCAGAGCATCCACATCTCAAGTGTGTTTTTGTGTTTTTCTGCGTGGAATAACTCCTTTTTGCACAAGAGATCTTGTGCAAAAAGATGTGTGTGAATGGGGAACAGGGCTTTTTTGCGCAAAAAGAGAATTAAAAAAAAAGCACAGGTACCCTGGTGGTCATAGGTCATAACCAGGACCTTGAATGTGGCCGGAAACATACCAGAAGCAACTACCAGAAAACTGGTGTAATGTGCTCTGTATAAGGAGTATTAGCAAGAACTTGAAGAGCCATTGAAGTTTCTGAAGACACTTCAAAGGCAGCCCCACATAGAGCACATTGCAGGGTCCAATTGGGATGTGACAAAAGCATGAACCACCATGGCCAGGTCATTCTTACTCAGGAATGGTTGCAGCTGATGGGTCAGCTGAAGCTGCCCAAAAGCACTCCTGGCCACAGAGGAAATCTGGTTCTCAAATGCTAAAAAGGGGTCCAGGAAGACCCCCAAGCTGTGCACCTGTTCCTTCAGGGCCAGGTCTGCCCCTTCATCCAGGATTAAATTCTGGATTATCGTGGTCTTGTGGGATACCAACCTGGCATTCAGCAACAGCACCATCAGGCCTGATGGCCAGTTGTTAAGGTTCCCAGGGTCATTGAGGCTGGGAGCAGGACTGGAATGAGGAATAGCACATAACCATCTAAACCTCATTCCCTTCAGCTGGCCCATCCTGAACCCACTGCTATATCTCCCCCACCTGTCACAGTTCTCACTATGCCATCTGAATCCTCCCCATTTGCCACCCCACCCATGTCACGACACAATAATGGGGGAGAGGGACCTACAACACCCCTCTTCCTTGACCTGCAGTGTGGGTAGGTATAGGGAACCTTGTCTCACCAAGAATCCTCCCTGCTTGCACCAGGCACTGAATAGACCACCACATGAACAACAAATGTACTGGTCTCACCAGCGCAAACAAAAAACATCAAATTATACTACACACACAAGTGTGCATGCATGCACACACAAATCACCACCACAATGTAATATACACCCTTGCCCTCAGTCTTCCCTGAAGGGCCACCCCAAATGGCAACCCCCTTTTGGCTCACCCCTTCAGGGCACACCCTCCACTGCAGTAGCCTTCTGGGTTTAAGCCTGCCCTGGCTATGCCTGCAGGCAATACCTGCAGCTGAATGTTCTTAGTCTTAAAGGGGGCAGGCCTCTTACCCAGGAAGTGGTGCAGTAGCAGCAGCAGGGCAGAGGCCTTTCTTCAAGGGGAGGCTGAGAGAGATGTTGGTCCTTGCTCCCACCCCTCACTCCTCTACCAGTCTATCCACCTGTCACTTCAGACACTGCTTGCTTCTGTGGCTAACTGCTGAGCACATCCTTCCACATCATGGAATTTAATGAAATTCATTCTATTAATTCACACAGACCTAAATAGTTTTGTTTTTTCTGTAAATATGGTTTGTGCTCAGGATCATGCACTCAGACTTAATTCCAAGTTTATTTCACAAGTCTTCCTAAAAGCTAAAGGTCAGATGACAGCAAACCAGCACCATATGCACTGAAGATACTAAAAAGCCCACATACCTTCAACAATTGCTGGATCACACACAATCGTCTCTTGCTAAGGAGTTATTTAAATCCAGGATTCTTCAAAATGTTTATATACAAGCTTCTTATTGGTGAATATGCAAGTTCATTCTTAGTTAAGACCACAAGTGTCATTTTATATAAACAATGGTCCTAATTTTAGAAGTAACTGTATCAAATGCAAAATAAGTTCCTTATTCATAAAAATACACCCTCGGTCCTGCCTTGGTTTTGGTGACTTCTTGGGCAGAATCCCAAATGTTTTTAATAGGGTGGGTGATTGAGTGACTCTCCTAATGAGTGACAAATCTAGTCTTAGAGAAAACAAGTATCATTTGTGGTTATGTTATTTTGAGGCACTGGATAAAAAACCCATCTTGTATTAAGGCAAAAAGAAGTTACTTCTGTAACCAATAAGACTCATCTGCATTCTTACCTTCTCCTAGTGCAAAGATTCTCCTCACTTTCACTCATCACCAGGACTCTGCTGGACCCACCTTGACTGGCTTCATGCATCACTTCAATCTGAATTAAAAATAAATCAATTTTAAAAAACTAAATAGCTGCAGTTTGATTGAAGGCTCACCTTACAGTTTAAAAAAAAGGCTTTATTTGATTCTTTCTTTTAGTAAAGCAAGTGGCAACATATATATTCAATACTACTTTGAATCCAATAATTAATATAATGAACTTTTTATTTAAAGCTAATATCTTACATTTTAATGATAATATATATCATGTATTTTGGCTCCAAATTGTTCCATTTATCTTAGTGTGTAGAAAACAGCTCTTAACACCAGAGTCATTCTTGGCTACTTACAAAGATTTTATAATCTTCATTCTTAGCTCATAACATATGAGATCTATGTTCGTATATAAGGAGCAACTCTTCATACTTACCTGCCTTGAATAGGAGTATCACAAACTTAATTCCATATTTTATGGTCACTTAGCATGTTCAGGCATGGTGGGGTTTCTTTCTCTCTTTTTTTTCTTTCCTAAATATTCCCTTACTTTAAATAAATGCAGTTTAAGCATGTCTTCATATTTCCAAACTTTACATACAATTCAATACAGTAAATGCCAGAGAACTGTGGGGTTTTCTTGTTCTTTTTGGAACTTTTAAGAATTGTTTTGCCTTTCTTTTCAATATGATGCTATTTCGCAGGCTTCTAACACCTTGGATTTATAAAACAGTAAAGGGTGGATACTGAAACTATCCAGTGCCTAAGCACTGCACTGTGAATGATTTTGTGGTGTATATAAACACTATGAAGTAGCTTTTATACAGTGCAGATAAATATCAAAATACTTTCTACCCAGCTACATAAATGGCCTGCAAATTCTCCCATCAGCTTCAGTGGAAGTCTGGCGTTCTTTGCCCTTTTCTGGTTTTGAAGACATGAGCCAAATCGTGCTTACTCTCAAAAGTAATAGTTAAAATCCAGATATTTAGATGTATTGTTATATGGGTATAAAAACAAAGAATCAAAATCATGCTATCTGTATATGATGGTCTGAGACCTTGTTCTTGATAACATAAGGCTTTTGATTTAAGCAGCAAGAGCATTCATAAACTGGGAAACACGCAGTCAGGTCTTTGCACGTTCCGAACCAGCTATGTTGAAATAAGTCAATTTGGGGCTGTTACAAAGGCTATCCGATCTATCTCCTCCAGATAAAGGGAAGAGTCTAGAAGACTTAAAGGAAACTTAGGTTGATAGCTTTCTGTCTGGCAGGGCCCCACACTTATCAATAGTGAGGGTTGTGAAATCCTCGTTTGTTTATTGCTTCATTATACAGGCAGTCCCCGGGTTACGTACAAGATAGGGACTGTAGGTTTGTTCTTAAGTTGAATTTGTATGTAAGTCGGAACTGGTACATATTGTAGGGGAAACTCTAGACAAACATTTCTCCAGAGCTCAGTTCTATTCTCCCACACCTCACTTCCCTCAGTCCTTTATTCTCAAGCTGAGGTGTCTGCTGAGAAAAGCTGCTCTGCGTCTCCCTGGTCTGCTGTGGGGGGCGCTAGCTTCGCGTCTCCCTGGTCTGCTGGGGGGAAGCAGCTAGTGCGGGGTTGTCTCACCCCGTTTGTAAGTAGGGATACGATGTAAGTCGGATCCATGTAACCCGGGGACTGCCTGTATTCCCCATCTCTCTATTGTTTATCTGTATGATTTCTGTCGGGTTCTTTGTTTCTGTCTCCTATATAATTAATTTTTCTGGGTGTAAACCAATTAAGGTGGCAGGATAAAACTGGCTATATAATCATATTGCAACAGGTTAAGATTGTTTTGTTAAATTTCAGTAGAATGATTGGTTAAGGTATAGCTGAAAGTTTTACTGTATACATTGCGGAGAGACAATAAGTGGGTGAAGGGAAAAAGAAAGGAATTGGATTCACACTTGCAGGAAGCTA